ATGATAACTAATTTAGAAAATTATAAGATTATTTAGTCATTTAAGATGTGTATAAGGTAATTGAAAACAAACTTTAGGAAGGTTAAGGCCTCACTGTAGTTGGTTATTCTATAGCTGGGGTCACTGCCTAAGTTGTTCAAAGGCATATGTTCAATTTACAGTTGTAATGAGGAACATGGGATGTTTTGATTCTTTATTTGCTGTGCTCATCTCTAGAGGATGCAATTGCCTGTATTAAAAAATGAACATAGGCTCTTTTGTGGGGGATAATAAAAATGTGCAAGATAATATGTGCCACATGCATATATGGTTGACATATGGCTTCTCTCTTTAAGTATGGAATTGTTGCCCTTAGCTGCTATCACAGAGCAGCCACATGGAAATATTCATTATTAGCCACTTAAGAATGAGACCAGTTCCTTTGATCTCATTAGCTTGATCATGATTATTCCATGTTAATGAACACATAGTGTTTGTAAAGGTGTTTTTCAGTAGATTAGTCCTTTTCAAGGGCATTTTGTATTTTATTCTAATCCGCAAAAGAGAGAAATGAATGTTACAAGGTTTTCTTTTGACTCATAGTGAATGTAAAAAAGACATAGTAAAAGACATAAAACAGGTTTTTTACTTTTCTTTCCTTTTTATTCTCTATTTTAAAAAATGAATGGTATTTGAGTTGCAGATTTTTTCTACATGTTGATATACTTGACAATACTAGTACATGCTCTTGAGTTAAAGAAATACTTTTCTTGTTGTTATGATAGAGGTTGATATTGAGTAGGAGAATTACCTTTTGAATTAGTGAAAACTTTCATTCATCTCTGTTTTTATTCCATAAAGTTTGCAGAATGACAATGACCCTGTCTACATTCAGGGTTCTTCTCTTGGCTTTAGAACAAAGCAAAACAAATGCAATCTTTCCATTATAAAAGATGCATAAAAGAAAAACATCTTTAGATGTCTCTGATATGAACGAATTAGGTGAAGGCTAATTAGAATTAGTGAAAAATAGAAGATGAAAAGATCTATGTTTTAAAAAAAAGATAGGTGATTAGGTCAGTTGTCTAATGTAACTAAGAACCGTTTTGGAGTTTTGCATCTGTCCAGCACTCTGCCCTTTGCGTGGTACACTGTTCTTCATTACTTCCAGCTGTGTGGGCTGCCAAAATCTGCACCTTGCAGCTCTGTGGTCATGTGCTTGACACTCGCCCAATGCCCACGCCCATATGCCTTGCCAGACTGTTTGCTCTAGAGGTTGGGACACTATCCAAACCTAGCCAGTACCAGTCACACCTACGACGTTTGCACTTGGAGATCCTGAGAAAAAGAGATTTGGGGTTTTAGAGTTAAAAAGATGGAAATTGGTTGAAAGCAGTAAGTAGCGGAACAAATAAAGCCAATCAGAGGTATGAGGAAATGAGTGACTGTGAGGAGGCGGAGCTTAGTTGCCTCATGTCCCAGTTCCAGTGGAACTCAGACTTGTCTTTTTCTTTTCAGTATCCGTCCAGAATACTCCTCTTTTTTCCTGACTGCTTTGCTTAAGTTGCAAAAGTCCTGTCCTGAAACAGACAAGAATTCTTATTCAGCGTGATATTTGTTTGCATGTAAATGGGTTACTTCTAATGCAAGAGGTATTGTAAGTATTTCATGGTTTCCTTTAGTTATCTTTTTAAACCAAAGTTTGGGCCAGCTACTGCCTTCACTGATAAGGAAAGGGTAAATTTTATTTTTGCTGAATAATCATAAACCCTTAATTAACAACATCCAAATTATTGGAACTGTGCAGTATTAATGCTGATCAATTTAGTGTTCATAAACTTTCTTTGGCCGTGGACACAACTTACATAATTATATACTTTTCTCTCTCTACTTCTCAAATCAGATTCATTGGCCTACTCTCTCCCCTTGAAATCAGATTTTGCAGCCTCCTGGCTTTCCTCCAAAAGTCTTTCATTGTTTCACAAGCCATCCTTGTTTCCAATCCATCCTTCTTTATCCACTGTGTAAACTAGGTGGACCTGAATACTTAGGAAAAATCCAAAGCATTTGGTTGTTATTAGAGTAAGGATAGCTGACTCACACATGTAAAACATTAAAGAAAACTTAACATGTTTGAGTGATGTTTTTCTTTTGTTGTTGTTTGGGACTGTGGGGCATTTAACCACATCCTGCCATGCATAGAACACTAGAGCTTCTCTTTATTCCCAGGTATAGTTAGGTATAGGCTAATAAAACAAACAAGGACAATATTTCTGTTTTCTTTTCCCAGCATTTTTATTGATTTATTTAAATGTAACATACTATACACTGTTCAGCCTTTTGGGAGGTAGGAGGAGGGAGGGATTCTGTATCTTTATGAGGAGTCTTCTCCGAACCAACACTCAGATGGGGACATACATTTGTGGCTGACACACCTTGACATTGTGGCCAGGGGCCACACTTCCCGCAGAGGCTGAGCTTCCAAAATCATGATAATTTTTTTTAACATACAATATTCCGGGCTGGAACTGCTTTTTCTGCAGAAGCAGAATCCAGCTGCAAAGGGGACCAGAATTCTATCTCAATTATCAAGCAAAGATGCCATTTTTAAATGCAGGAGAATCTCCTTACTCCTTACCACACTGTTTCTGTTCTTATCTCCGTGTGTGTGTGTGTGTGTGTGTGTGTGTGTGTGTGTGTGTGTGTATGGAGGGAGGCTGAGGTGAGGGAGATGTTTTCTATTTTTGGCTTCTGCAAGCTTTGATACATTTTGCTAGAAGCTGTTTTAGTGTTTCCAGTACAATAATGATGCCTGTTTACACATAGTCTCCTCAGTAATCTAAATGGCTATGTGAAATATGAATCCAGTTTGTGCCCTGTTTGCTGTTAGTGTAGTCATCTAATACTGTATTTGCCTCATCAAACGTTTAATTTTGGTTTTGGGTGGTCTGTGTTCATGTGTCAGGTGCAATTATTATTTTGAAATAAAAGAACAAAGATAATCTAGTTCTGATAGCAATACCTTACATTATAACTCTCGGACTCCGTTACCAATTACATTTTAACATACAGATTCCAACCACAAAAATTAAACATTTTTAGAATCTGATTTGTCAAGAAGCAAGTTGGAAGCCAAATGCCATGAAATGCAGCTGTAGCCATAAGCCAAACACTCTGCCTCAAATGCATATCTTTTGAAATTCCAACTTTAAGGAAAGAAAAAAAAAAAAAGAAATCTTTTATGGTATTACTTTATGGGAAAATGTCTTAGTAAAACTAATTCTTAAGTAACAGATTAACTGGAAGTGCTGGTTAAATAACGACACAATGAAGTTAGAAGAGAGGATCACAAAACACCAGCCTTTCTAGAGGTTAAACTTTAGTATAAAGACACATTTAGTGAGTCTTTCCCTTGTACCAAAATACTGTGTCTGAACAAAAAAAATAAACAGACCTTTTCAAAACAAGAAATATGAAGATAAAATCGCAGCATCAATATAATCTCATAGTTATGACTTAAAGTATTTAAAACAAATAGTATTTTTCTATACTTTTTTAAAAATCACTACAGACACTGCAAATAAGGCTTATGTGTTTATTTAGTGGAATACAATGTGACAACGACTGGTATATTCCTATGCGTTGTTTTCTATGCCTGCTCTAACAAAATGAATTTTGATACAGTTACATTGTGGAATCTTCCAAAGCTCTTTAAATTTACATAAAATAAGTTTTATTTGGTTTTGTAACGACTAGGTCATACAGCTGGAACAGGTTTCCGTATATGATTAGACATATACCATGATATATTTGCTCAGTTTAAGCCCCTGGAAGGGTTGCACTTCAAATTCCTTGATAATTCCTTTGGGGGAGATGTACTACGTGGGACTTATAAAAAGGTTCTCATATATGCAGACAGCCTCTTCATCACTACTGTGAGACATGGCAAAAAAATCATTAGTGAATAACGAGGCTAGGCTACTAAAATTTATTTAACAATTTTCCTTCTTTTCATTTTGGAGACCCATTGATATACTGAGAGAGAAGAATTTGGCCTTCTGCTCTATTTCTTATGAAAGGAAGCCTTAGGAGTAATAGCTATTTTTAAATGATGGCAGATATGTCTCATCAAGCCATGCCCCAGCACTGTCATATTTGCTGTTGATTCTTCTTACTGCAGAAGTGATATTAAATTAACTGCTATTACACGGGGCTCTCACCCTGCTTCCCTATCTCCTCTCCTAGTCTTGAAGTGTTTGCCAAGTTTTAAAAACACTTTTGTCATGAACATGCATGGGGTGTGCTGAAGAAAAAGAAAAGGTAAACCAGAGGGCAGCTGCTGTGGATACTCTTTAAAACCCCAAAAGATATTTAACATCCTATTAAATAAATAACTTAGAAAGAAATAGAAAGGGATGAAGGCAGAATGCACAAGCATACCATACTATTTGTTTTGTTAGAACAATTTTACGCTAACATGTTTACATTTTTTTCATATTATCCAATTCTTCCACGATGCCACGCCCAAAGCTCCTTTGGTTGTGCATATGATATGACCCAAGTGCTTTCCAGTAAATGCTTGCGTGTCTTACTGCTCATTGAATCACTAGGCTTGAATGAGCAATGAAAGTCTTTGATATGAGTTCGTATTCCATAAATAACTTTCCCGAAGATCATTCAACAGATTGTTCCATGTCCTTTAAGTTCTATCTCAGAGGTTCAAAAACAAGAACATAAACAAAAACGTAACCAAAACCCAGCCACAGTGTTGTTCATTTAGGAATAACTTCCATCCCATTTAATCTGCCTATTATCTCGATTATAAGGCATGACACAGAACTAATTAAAAGAACATCATTATGTCAGCAGTGAGTACAAAACCTTCAAAGACTTCCTTTCTTGCAAGCAAGCAGACATCTGCAGTATGTCTTTGCCTTTTGAGCTACTGTGTTCATGAAGAATACCAACTAGTCCTGGTGAAAGAGGCTTCGGTTCTGCTATATCCACAAACATTCCTTCCTCTATGAGTGGACCACCATTGGAAGAAAATGAGCTGAGGTGTTTTTCCTTCTTGTTTTCTGTCCTCTCCTGGGAGCTCCTTTTCCATTCAGTGCCACATACATTTGCCTCCCGTTGTGCTGCCAGTTAAAGGATGCATACGTATTGTATCCATTTTCCTCTATCCTCTCCTTCAGCTTACAGTCATTGTTAAATTCTTTCTGCAGGGGGAAAATAAAATCTTTTATTTCTGTGATGATGATACTTAATTCCATTTGATACAAACCATCCAGAAAACTCCAGTTCAAGAGCTTTGTTCGCTGATATCATTTGTACCTAAGTTGTGCACTTAAGACATGTTGCCAACAGCAGAAGAGTAAAACTCATAACCACAAAGCAGATTCTGTGTTTGAAGGCTTATGATTCATTTTAATTGATCATCATAAACACATGTTAGGGCCCCTTTAAAAAGCTGGTATGCTTTGAATATGGCATGGTTTAAGTGCCTAGAATGATTGTTAAGAGCATGCATTCTACTAGTGGTATTTGTGATGAGCCAATGATAAACAATTATGTTATAATACTTTTTTTCAGAATAAGGACCATGGGGTCTCATGGGAGAAATAGAATTATAGGAAACCCTGTGTTTCTCAAGTTTGCAAACCTTGCCTGTAAATCCATAATAAATACATCCACATTGGGAAGAAAGCAGATCTTATAGGAAAATCATAATAGGTCTAGATACCCAAGAGACCAGGGAGAGATGGAGGGATGTCTTCCTTTCTTAAAAATACTAGATTTCTACATTTTGTTAAGTATTTACAATTTTCTATAAGCTGGAATTTTAATAGATTTGGCTCTGAGCTCTAGGAATGATTGAAAACTAGGACATGAAATGCCTTGCTTTATGAATTACCATATCAAAGAAATTACAAACTTGGTGACTATCACTGTGTATACTATATAAACCTGAGGCTTTGATCCTTGGAAATTCTACTCAATAGTCAGAGTACTTTGGCTTTGTTTCAAGTGACCATGTGTTTTTAGGGGGAATCTTTGGGACAAGAATTGATGTTTCCTTCATTACATAAATCTAGTATCTCACTCTGGAGTTACTGATGTAGAGGAGGTACCTCACTAATCTCAAAACTCTAGCTTTGGAAATGTCCCTCTTCCCTTATACCCACACTAAAGCAGGTTAGAAGCCAAAGAATTGGGGCTTTTGCTCCTCTGGTTCTACCTTTTTCCGATCCAAGCCAAGGGTATTATAGGCATCTTTCATTGGCCTCAACTGGGCAGTTCAGTTTTTCTCACCTCGGGATTTAAAAAAAAAATGTTACTAAATTCCCAATTCCTGCATGTGTGTATATTTAAGTATTCAGGTTTCTGCCAACTAGATCTTAATTTTGAACATTATCCGAACTGTCACAAACAGGTATATTTTACATTCATGTTTCCAATTTAAGCTTTGTTTCCTGGAATTTATTTATCCAATGTGCTTCACTTCTATAAAGTAATATAGAAGTCTAACATCAAATGGTTCATTTGGTTTAAAGTAAGAGGGAAAGGTAAATTATTTAAGGTAAGAATTTTAATGTGACAAAAATTCCGAATTAGAAAGGAACTTAAGTCCTTACTATATTGTTTTTTTCCCCCCCATTTATTCACCTTAGTTTGTCGAAAGCTATATGGCTTTCAAAGCAGAGATGATTTTTTACATGTATAGTTATATTCATTCTAATAAAGTGGGGGAGTTTAGAGATTATGGGAGGATTGAGGTTTTCTAGATTACTTTATTTTTTATTTTTATTTTTTAAAGATTATTTATTCACTTTGAGAGAGACAGAGACAGTGCAAGTTGAGTAAGGGCAGAGAGAGAGGAAGAGAGAGAGAGAATCCCAAGCAGGCTCCATGCCATCAGTGCAGAGCCCAATGTGGGGCTCAAACCTATGAAGCCATGAAATCATGACCTGAGCTGCAATCAAGAATTGGATGCACTTACCTGACTGAATCACCCAGGTTCCCCGGAGATGACTTTATATTTGCAACAGAGCAGTGTATAGAAAGGAACAGTAGATGTTCAGTTATTTTGTCTCCCCAAAATAAATTTATAGAGCAATGTCTCTTAAAGTATACCTATAGGTATACCTATAGCAGACTCCTAATCTCAAGTGTTTTTTAATATCTACCCACTTTACCTCAAATATATCAGAATCTTTGGAGGAAAGACCTAGGAATCTATGTGTTTATAGCATTTAGGCAAATCATCAATATTAAAGTTAAAAAAAAAGTATAGTCTAGAGAAAGATCTCAAAAGTTGGGTTTTGGTAGTTTAAAGAAAGGTTTTGAACTTCCTCAGGATGCCTCATACATTTCTTTGGTCCTTAAATCAGGCTGTATGAGAGCCTGTTTTATTTAAATACCATTTTCTAACTTACTTAATGCTGTTAGTCATGTGGAAACCAAGAATAGCATAGATAAATTGTTCAGAGAAGGAATAATGAAAATATAAGAGAGACATACATTTCCCAAAAGGGAACAGAGGAAAATATTCAATACAGAATATAATATAGAGCTGGTTTAATTAATCACTCTAGGTGTTGGCTTAATATTTTCAAGAAGGCTTAGGATGTCAGTGTAAATCCCCTGAAAAAAGATGATAGGAATTTGTAAACATTGCCCCTGATTTACAGAATTATATTAGGTATGTCCTCATGAGTTTTGATGGCATACCCTTTAATGCAAAATTCCTAGTCCTAGTTCACTCTGAATGGCACATTCAATTTGAGTGGGTTTTTCATTTAATTTGAGCAAGCCATCATATTTTACTCTTCCTAGCTGTGATGCAAAATTGCAAAAACAATGCACTGTGGTTAGAAAATGGGCTTCTTTCTGAAATGGACCGGAAATGGAGGGTACAGGCTATGATGTGCTGAACTGCTAGGACAAGTGGTTAGGTTTATGCTTTTATAACTCTGCTCTGGAGGGACTGAGTGCTGAGGATATAGTGCGGGACAAGGCAGACCCTGCCCAATTTAAGTTTACAATAAATTGGGGGAAGGTAGTCAACAATATACACAGTAATGAGAGGATTTCCAATGAATCCTACCGCAGAAAACTGAAAGGGGGCGCTATGCTAGAAGGCAGTGGCCATCTACTTTAGATATAGAGATGGGACCAAATAATTCAAACATCTTAGAATTCAAGGAGCAGAATAGGCACCGTATATGAGCTGTGTTGGGACAGAAGAAAAAGTGGGGAAATGAGAGTAGTAAATATTTTTATGACACTGTTGATTTAAGAATTATCCATTTTTTGAGCTGCCTGGGTGGCTCTGTTGGTTAAGTGTCTGACTCTTGATTTCGGCCAGGTCATGATCTCACGATCTGTGGGATTGAGCCCTGCATCAGGCTCTGCACTGGGTATGGAATCTGCTTGAGAGTCTCTGTCTCCCTCTTTCTCCTTCTCTGCTTGTCTGCTTGTACCTTCTCTCTCTCTCTCTCAAAAAGGAAGGAAGGAAGGAAGGAAGGAAGGAAGGAAGGAAGGAAGGAAGGAAGGAAGGAAGGAAAGAAGGAAGGAAGGAAAAAGAAAAGAAAGAAAAGAAAAGAGAAAAGAAAAGAAAAAAGGAAAAGAAATATCTAGAAATTACCACAGCTTTAGTGTACCTAAAAAATCTAGAAACGTGATTTAATCTTCCCAGTGATTATGATGCATACTGAAGTTTGGGACCTGCTGGATCTAGGCAGGCATTGCAATTGTCCTTATGCTAATCAACAAAATAAAGTTATTTACACATTTTGAAGTGATAGTCCTTAATACTTGCTATGAAACACTAGAAACATATGTACTCAAAGCATTGGCTGGATACCAGCTCCACATTGAATTAATGACTGTTGTCTAAGTAAATAAAAATATGGAGTTGATTGAATGGCACACAAATGGTAAATTTCTTAATCTGTCTCCCCATCTCATATTTTAAAAGAATGCAAAATACCAAGCCCCTGTTTTATCTTCAGCTCTAAAACACACACAGTATATGATTTCTACTCAATTTAAGATCTTTGTTTTCAATGATTCTTCTCCAAGTTGTCTGCGGCACCCGTGCCAATCTGACCAGATGCTTCCGTGAGAGTCTGACCCGTTAACAGTTCAGAGCACAGACTAACGAATGCCAGCAACAGCTTGTGTGGTAGACTGATGGGTGAACAACAGAGGAAATTACAGAGTTGCAAGAGCCGCTTTGCCAGCCCTTGAAACTCTGGTGACCAGCCCACTGTGGCTCTATTTACTAGCAATAGAATGATAACAAAGCTCTTCAGTGTCTGAGGGAAACATTCCAAAACTCTGGTAATGATTTACTGCAGCAGACATGGAAAATTAAAGCAGAATACTTACTGAGCCATAGAGTTTCCCCTTCTTGTTCATGGCTAAATAATAGTTGCTGTTAATGGCTTTGACGGCAACAACTCCGATTTCCACTGAAGTTATCTCCAGGATACCTAAACCATACAATGGGAAGAAAAAAAAAAAAAAAAAGCTAAACTTAAAGCGTCAAATAAATTTAGGTGAAAGAAAGAAAATCAGAAGAACTACTGAGTTTTAATTTCTGATAGTTCTAAAATTAGTAGATTTTAAAAACTGGGATAAAACCCTCCAAACCTCTTTTGATGTGCCTAAAAACCCAGCAATTATATTGAAACAATAGTAACTCTTTAAAAGAATTCCCCTGTAGTTTACTCTGAGCATATAAGGAAAAATATTGTTTTAATTAAAATACTTCCTTTGCTAACTCTACATTTTCAACCCCATAAATATTGAAACAACTCTATCTTAGCCTAGGTTTCACAAAAATTTATCAGAGCACACATCTGTACTATGGTATTAAATTAAATCCATAGCATATGTCAATAATCTGTCAGATTTACCTCAATCTGTAAAAACAGTGGTAAACTATTTCTCCTTTGTAGGACACTCAGATAAACTAAATCTCTTGGCTACATTTAACTGATAAATTCAGTTTGAAAAAATGTGTTGACATTCTGAGATACAGAAAGACTGATCCCAACATCCACATTGTCTGTAAAATAGCAAAATCACTACTCTGAGTTGGGAGAATATCCAATATTCATCAGCACTTTTAAAGGCTTTTTCCCCTCTAGAAAGAATGGAAAACTGAGGGTTTCTGTAACTGATAGACAAGAGAACTTTTCTCCTAATACATATGTTTTGGTTCATGCATCTAAAGGTAATTTTCTCTGAAACATTTGTAGGTAAGTAAAGGGAGAGCATTTGATATTTTACCCAAAATCTGTTTTAGGTTAAGAAGACCTCAGGTACTAAAACTACTTCTTATTCTAGAGTTCTTAGGAAAGCTTTCTCAGGTGATTAGCAGAGGCTTCTGGATCCAGAGTGTCTGGGTTGTAGTCTGGCTTTGCATTTCCAGTGACCACAGGAGGAGTCACTGAACTGCCTGTGTTTAAATTTCATTTGTAATATGGGCAACACAATAGTTCCTCCTTCCTAGTCATGCTGTATGGAATAAATGAGCTAGTATATATAAAATAATTAGAAATTGCCTACAGCTAGAGCTTAGTGCCTCAAATATTATTAGAGAAAATAATCTTCCTCTCACATTTAATAGATTTTGGAGCTCCTTCTTCACCAAACTGAGTAAATCCTGAACAGAACATACAAATTCCCATTGACTTAGCCCATAACATCTTTTTTTTTTTTTAATTTTTAAAATGTTTTATTATTTCAGAGAGAGGGGGACACAGATTCCGAAACAGGCTCCAGGCTCTGAGCTGGCTGTCAGCACAGAGCCTGATGCGGGGCTTGAACCCATGAACCATGAGATCATGACCTGAACCGAAGTCGGACGCTTAACCAACTGAGCCACCCAGGCGCCCCTACTTAGCCCATAACATCTTAAAGGTGATTATATGTTATCATTTATTATATATCAACTGTCATAAGAAATGCCATTCTAAATGTGTTCAACAAATTGGGTGTTTATATGTATACTTTCCTATAGGGAAAGGGTGGCTTGTTCTTAAGACATGAATGCCTCTTTCCTCTTCATCTGTCTTAGGTTGACCAGCCATGTGGAGGCCAACAGAAATGTTTGAGTTCCCGCACTGCAAAGCTGACAAAACCAGAGAGCTAGACTATATGCCATGGATCATTCTGTCCATGTATTTTGTAGGAAGCTTCTCACCTAACATAGCACACTCCCTCACTAATAGCGTGGGATAAATCTCAGTTGGGCAAGCTCAAACCAAGGACAGATTACAAAGGGTGAAGGAAACCGTATCTGTATTTTTAGTATTGCTTTTCCTTATGCAGCTAGTTGCCCTCAAGGTACATACAAATACACCCACTTATTTGCATATTTTAAAATATTTTCTTATAGTTTATGTCTTTAATTCTCACAGCAATCCTCTGAGATGGGTATTGCTATTCTTAATTACAGATGAAGAAAAAAAGCCAGAGGATATGAGAGTATATAACTCACACACAAGATGATGAAGTGATACAAGTCAGTAATGACAGATTACTAAACTTCTGGCTTTCAGACTATTTAACTCTCCATCCCTGACTATTTGTCTCTGCATCATATTTCCCCACTCTTTCCCATTCTCTCAAGGGAATCCTGTTGGAAAACCATCTGACAAAATGACTCATCAAGATAACAGTCTTTAATAGACATGCCACAGAGGAAAATGTCTAAGTATCAGGGAAGGGAATCTAATATACTTTATGTCACAGGCAGAAGATACAGAGTGAGGCAGCAGGTTAAATTCTGGGGCAAAATATTCAGGCCGGTATTTACTTTGCCTAAGAAACACGTAAGAACTGTCAGTAAATTGCAAGATGTTCCTTATATATGCTTTTATAGGTGGAAATTGTTAGAATGAAAGATTGAAGCAAAGAATAAAGCAGGATTTTTGAAGGTGAACAAGATTAGTGGGATTAAGCTATAGCAAAAGACTGAGTTGACAAAAGAAAAAACTTTGTGATACAAATGTTACCAAATCCTTGACCAGTCATTTCTGAGCATAAATGCTCAGTAAACTGCACATGATATATCATATTTAGCTTGGAAATCCCTGGATTTTTCTGCTTTGCACAAAATAGAAACTCAGTATTTAAAGGATCCATCAATCAGTGAACCATTTTCCCCACTCTGTGACCAGTTAAGACTCATGTGAAAAGGTTCACTATGCTTCAAAATAGAAAGTGGGAAGACCTAGATGATTTAAGGGTCTTTCAAATTCTGAAGAAGAATTTTTTGGGTACACGATATACCAGTAAATTATAATCTGATAATTTTGTGGTAATGAACAATGACTGTCTTTATTATAAACATCTGTTAATGTGAAAGGGACTTTCTGAGGGGCTCAAGTCTAGAGGATTAGTCCCTTTTTCATAGAGAATCTCTCCAGTGTTCTCTGTTCTTTGGTGAGGGTGGTCAAGTCTTCCTATAAAAAGTATTTTTGCAAAGGAGGTCCAGAATTTTGCTTGATGGTTGTTAGACTATTAACTTAGTGTATTTGTTTATTTTGGTTCAAAATTCAATGCCAATTAAAGGACGACCTCTTAGGGGAAAGTAAGTGAAAGACATATAAATTTTCTGTATTTCTTACAACTTATGTGAGCATACAATGATCTCAAAAGTTATAAAGTGTTGTTTTGTTACTCAAAGAAACTAAAACCTAAAACTTATATCATCAGTGAAAGGGAACATAAATTATATTTCCCATTCATATAGGTCAGCTCTTTTTTAAATTTAAAGACATATTCTTATAGCGAAATTCTATTACTTATATTAAGTTGTAACAACATCAGTTTTGATGTCTCTTAAAAGATGGATATCCCAAGTGGTATTGTATACCTATTTAAGAGCTTTTGGACAGTTGAATTCAAACACATAGGAAGACCTTTGAGGAGAAGGGCACTCTTTTAGGAAATGGGAACATAAATCAAGTAAGTTATGGCCCTCCTCAATCAGAATCTATTCTCTATTGGGAGTAAAAGACAAATACACAGAGAATTACAATAAAACACATTAAGTGATGATAAGAGCTAAGGTGGAAGAAAAATAAAAGTAGTTCATATTGGTGGTGGCTCCAAGGCTGACTTCCTCTTTGGAGATGAGACTTCAACTGAGTTTTGAAGGTTGAACACAAGGCATTCAGGAGAAAGGTGGGAAGACATGAACACAAGCATTAAAGTGAAAATAGTATGATGTTTTCCAGAAAAATCATAAGTTTGATTTACCAACTAGAGAACAAGGAGCAAGGCAGAAAGTCAGAAGAAGTGAGAGTAGGGAGTTAATAAGGCTCAAGGTATCAACCATGGGGTATTCTGGCAGATAGGAAGTATTTTATCTAAAAATATGTTACTTAAAAACCATATTAAAAGGGGCGCCTGGGTGGCTTAGTCGGTTAAGCGTCCGACTTTCGCTTGGGTCATGATCTCGCGGTTCGTGGGTTCGAGCCCCGCGTCGGGCTCTGTGCTGACTGCCAGCTCGAAGCCTGGAGCCTGTTTCCGAGTCTGTGTCTCCCTCTCTCTCTGACCCTCCCCTGCTCACGCTGTCTCTCTCTCTCCTAGAAATAAATAAAAAAAATTAAAAAAAACCATATTAGAAAAAGCCAATATTTAGCAAATTCATGTACGTAAATAATAGCAATCTGTAAAGTTTATTCTGGATCATATTTAACATCCTAAATAATAAAGTTTGATTATTGGCATTACAAGTGATTATGACATAAGTCAGCTCTTGTTAATGAGAAAATTCTACCTAAGAATGCAACATCACCATGGTAATGGGGAGGATTTTGCAAATTGATAAAGTCCAAATGGAAATAACATACAAGTCACGATTTTCATGTAAATCATCTTTTCTTTTAACTTGCCAAGGCATGAGTTATGTTTTGATGAATCACTGAGTAGTTAATCTGCAAAGGGCCATTCACAAGTTTCTTTCCCAGCTTAGGCTTCTTATCCTTCTCCAGAAGAGAAGGATTTGACTGATTTTCTCCCCAGCAATCATGTTGGACCAAGAATACTTCTCTTTTTGGGCAATTAGAATAAACAAGCTATTGGCCATCATGGTAACTTTCTCCTTAAACATTTTTTCATGGACACAACAGGAGAAAATAAGTAAAAGGCAAGTAAAACTTTAATAAAATTGATAAAGACAAGGGGAAAACTAGATATAAAAAATAAATGCAAAATTCCATATTATCTCATAAATAAACAGAACATGAAAATGTTAAGGAATCCTAGAGATTATTTTTGGCTAATATCTATTAAGCAACACTGTGTAGGATTTATGTTAGCTCTTAGAATGGAGGATGCAAAGACAAGCAAGCGCAGTCTTTACCATCAAGGAGTTTTAAAACCTGGTAGAAAAAGGACACAAATAATTCAAGTAATTACAAACAAAATATTTTAAGTGCTATATCAGAGGGAAAATACATCATCATGGTTTTAA